TCAGTTTAGATAATCAATATTTGTTGAAGTATTGTATGTACAAAAGACTTTTGGTTTGTACAGTTGTTACCATTTTTCACTGTAACTCCCATATTCTTCTTCCTCGTTATTTTGAACTAAGACCAATGGTATCTTTAAATAGAGACAAATTTGTGTTCCACGCAGATAAAGTCTTCAGAGGTGATGTTCTTCATGTGATTTGTTTATATTAAATTTGCTGTACATGTTTCTGGTTTAATGCTTGATTATAATTTAATATCTTTGCCTTTATTTTGGGTAATTAAAATGTTCTTGAACACCATTTACTTTTTCCTATACTGTAACGTGTGATGCACCCTGACTCAAGTACGTATCTAAACATCCCTTTAAAGTGGTGAAGTAAACTACAGTTCAGTCACAACTAATTAAATATGAAGGAGGTGGACCACATAAGGAAAATACAAATGGCCTCTTTTTCAAACAGAACCTACGCTGCTATTTTTTTCAAGTGTTTTCATAACTGTTTTCACATTGAATCACACAATAAAGCGTCTCTAACTTTGCTTTTTGTAATTCCTTCCACTCTTCTCCCTACTCTGAGGTCGAATGCCAACATTCGGCAGTCGTGCAGAGTAGATATATTTGCAGCTTTGTGGGGAGGTCTGTGTTACCCAGTCAGAGCACATTTTGCACGCTGAAATCCTGTTCAGTTTAGAACCCTGACTTCAAACAAAGCCTTCCTTAAAGGGAAAAAATGGGAAGGCGCTCTCCTCGGATAAAAGAGGACTGCACTCTCGTTTGGTTACGTAGCAGCCATACTTGGCAAGGGCTATGCGTTAGCCTTCAGGCAAAGTACATCAGCAGGATGCAAATGGTGCAGGCTTTTTGACTCTTTTTAATTTCTTTTTCAAGGTGCTATGTTTCTAAATAAAACCCTTTTCAAGGACAGTAACTCAGTTACTGCTTACAAAGATGGGATATATAAAATACCTATTCACTCTACAGTATAGTGTGTATAAAAAAACTATAAACAAAATATCATGCAGCCATATTTTTGTATCCTGTTTTTACAGTGCTCTTGTCATGATGCATAGAGAGATACTGACATATTTATACATACACAGAGAGTGAGTGAAAGCATTTACACATG